TAAGAAAAAAGATGCGTGGTGTCGTGGGACACCGGATAGGAACAAAGTTCCTTATTATAAAATATTAATTTCAAGTTCTATCGAAGTATAAAGAAAATAAAACTGGAGGTTTCGCAACAACCCACGGTTATTAGGTAACGTGCGAACTTATTGTGGTACACTTGTGGTTGTTTGCATAAGAGTTAGTGTATTGCGCAAACGAACGCTCTGAGATCGTGGTCAATGAATGATAAAAAAATATGTTATTATTTGTAAGTAAGTATTACAAAGTTAAGTCGTACACTCTGTGCATTACTAATAAAAATCTTACGTTACGGACGTTTTTTCCCGGTTAGGGTACCCCTCCGCATTCGTTCCAAAAATAGACATCTGCAATATCAGGCCTAAACATTCCAAGTCCATGTGACGCAGTGGGCGCTCGTCTGCGGCGGAGACACTCCGGCGCCGACCGGGCGAGGTCAGACGGGCTCCAGCCAAAAAGTACACAGCCTCGACATTCATTTATCTCGTTCTGTTTACGTCACCGTGTCTCCCATGAATGCGGCTCCATAGCGGAGGTTGCGGGACTATTGATTTGCGAAACGAAGTCTGGCTGTCTTCGTCAATGAATGCTGGTTCGGCGTGTGCTAGAAAATTCGATGATCAGTTGTATGAGTGAATTTTTAATGATAATAATAAGAAATGATAAAATAATTTGTTGCCTTTCACGCTAAATAAAATAAAATATAAATAAAAGAAAAGAAAACAAGGAAAACGCAAAAGGTGGTGGCTCAGCTAATGCTGTTCAAAGTCGATAAATTATATACCTATAGGTCGATAAAAGTATTAACACATTTTTCTTAGCTTGGTATATAATATGTATGTTTGTTTGTAAGGGCATGATTGAACTTTATTTTCAGAGACGTAAAACGTCTGATTGACTTGAAAATTTACACGCGCATCAAGTATCGATCGATAAAACACGGCCTCTAGTAACCACTTAACACCAGGTGGGCTGTGAGCTCGTCCACACATCTAAGCAATGAAAAAAAAATCGTCTTCTCGCATTAAAATTGAATAATCACAAAACTTACTAATTTTACAAGAGAGTGTTTTAAAGGTTTAACATGTGCTATTTTTAATATTAATCATCTTTGTAACATTTATTTTTTATTCTTTACCTGATACATTATCTGTCTATTAAAGTAAGATAAAATTATGTATTAATTTTGTTAATTGTAGTCAAAATATAGGTAAATAAAAAATAAAAAACTAAAACTAAGCTACGCTTTTTTGACAGTATTTATGAAAAAATACTGGTGATACCAAATGATTCCCCATATTAACTTAATTTCGAATATTTTTGGAAATTGTACACTTTTAATGCGAAAAGACGTAAAGTAGAACTTTTACGTTACTTAATTCAAGAGTATTTGTGGTTCTTTTATGGCAATATCGTGCCACGAGAAGTAGTTACGACTAGGACTTAGGAATTAGGGAACTGATTGAGAAATTAGATTAGGACTATTATGAAAGACAGATCAATTTCGTCGATAGTTCGTTCCGTTGCATCGGGGGCTGGTGGAATAAAACGCCCGGTGTGCGTCCTCGTATGTATTTTTGCTATACAGCGTCGACATGTGAAGGAGTTAAAGACACAGAGATCACCCTGAGTTCACCAACCTTCCACCGTTAATTGTACCATCAAATTTCGAGGCTAAAGTCTTAATGGCTAGTATAACAGTTGACCCACTCTTTAAACCGGAATCAGTGATTGCGTCGTGACGGAAACAGGCAAAATGGTGGAATGGTGGATCCCCTACATGCTCTTCCACCAGTCAACGTTGGTTGGTGATCACAATATGCTGGTTGGGAACACTGCTACTAGTTTCCCGATTATTATTTTGATTGCTTGGATAAGTGGACGAGTTGGTGATAACTGATTACCGGGGCCCGTAGACATCTACAACGTAAATGCCGCCCCCCACCTCGAGATAGAGTTCTAAGGGCTCAGTTTTTACAACACAACGGCTGGCCCACATTTCAAGCCGAAACGCATTACTGCTTCACGGCAGAAATAGGCGGGGTGGTGGTACCTACCTGTATGGACTCACAAGACGTCCTACCATCCCTAATTGTGTGGCTAGATAATCTGGCTAAGCTGATACTGAAATCCCGCTGGTATATATATTGTTAGAGGCGACTCCCTCTTAAGTCAAAAATAATAATTAATATGTCATGGATAACGACTTTAGTAATATTAGGACATTGTTATGATTATTATGATAAAATGTTGTTTTGATAAATATCACAAAAATGTAGGGTAGACACCGTAACGCCACTGTATAAAATGGCGCTGCGTGAACAGTGTCGTGGCAGTCTGTCTCAGGCAGTCAAGTCAGTCGGTCGCTCTGTCGGTCTGCCGGTTTCTTAGGTTTAATATTCTGTGTCGATCGTTCCTACCCACTTTTGAAATTTTTTTTTATTTAAATTATTAAGCCGTTGCTAAAAATATTTTATTTTTCTACCGAAATACGTATCTATAACTACGGTATTACATCGGGAATTAAAAATCAAAGCCCGTAAAATTTATACGTAGTAAACGTTAGGGATTATTATTGTGAGTCCACACAGAGCCATAGGTACCATAGAACCATCACATAGGCAGTTTTTATTTATTGCCCTTGTAGGCAGACGAGCATACGGCCCACCTGATGGTGGGTGGTTACCGTCGCCCATGGAAATTAGCAATGCCAGGGGCAGAGCCAAGCCGCTGCCTACCGCATATTAATAACATTATAAGTATACATTCACAGGTTCTCTTTGATCATGAAAATTGTTCATGAATACGTCCGTGCGTCGTGTTCCTCAGTGCTAAGGATCGTGACCTTTACGGAATACATACGTAAGGGCTCTCTTGGGAAAATTGCTAGTGGTGGCTTCCCGCGTCCTTCCACAGCAGAATTTCAGAGGCGATTTAGTTCCTCTGGGCTACTGAAGCCCTTGTTCGGGTTAGATGACCGCCGCCCGTTGTTTGGCGCTATATTTTTACGGTCGGGTAGGTGGCATACCGACGCCAACCCTCCTCTTTTCTCATTCCGGCTTGGGACCGGCAATAGCAGAGTTATATATAACATACACAAAATAAATAAAAACTAAAATTGCAATCGTGGTAAAAAAAAAAAAAACTATCATATTTTCTCTGCTGACCCTTGACTGACCAGTGTTAGATGAAAGTTAAAAAAATCTTGCCACAGATCCTTGGTATTCGTGTAAATTTTCAAGTGAATCAGACGTTGCTGATGTCTACTCACCACTCACGGCCCGTGAGCTCGTCCGCCTACCTAAGCAATACCAAATCTATATATATAAAAATGAAGTGTTGTTCGTTAGCTTCGCTAAAACTCGAGAACGGTTGGACCGATTTGGCTAATTTTGGTCTTGAATTATTTGTGGAAGTCCAGAGAAAGTTTAAAAGGTAGATAAATATGAAAATGCTCGGAATTAAATAAATATAACAATTTTGTTTTCCTTTGATGTGTCCCCCGTCGGACGGATTCCTTTTGTTTGTTTTAAGTTTATTTTATACAAAAATTTAGGTCTTTTATTTATCGATTGAGGCACTACGAAGTCTGCCGGGTCAGCTAATTCATTAATAAAAATGTATTGAAGTTAACGTAAATTACGTTAAAAAGATTCCTTCACGCACACAGAGACAGTTCAAGCTAACGTTAGCGCGTTAAAAATGCTAATTTCAACATTAACAAAATACAACTGAGTAAACAACAACAATAATATATTTAGCTCGCGACGTAAACACGTTTCTGATTGTAACAAACAACAAACAAACATTTCATTAAGACTTTTGAACACAGAAGATGCAACACGAGAAGTCTGGCGAACTCTTCGATTAGCTCGTTAGTCAAATGCTTTTTTTTTTTATTGCCTAGATATGTGGACGAGCTCACAGCCCACCTGGTGTTAAGTGGTTACTGGAGCCCATAGACATCTACAACGTAAATGCGGCACACACCTTGAGATATAAGTTCTAAGGTCTCAGTATAGTTACAACGGCTGCCCCACCCTTCAAACCGAAACTCATTACTGCTTCACGGCAGAAATAGGCGGGGCGGTGGTACCTATCCGTGCGAACTCACAAGAGGTCCTACCACCAGTGCTTATGTACTTTGCTTTGCGGCAGAAATAGGCGGGAAGATTGTGCCTAGACGTATGGATCAAATACACGTGCACATTTAGTAAAATAAATTGTGTAAACATGAAGCCATTAAATTAACTCAAGAAAATACTATAAACTAATGTAAACATTATGGTAATTAACAACCAAATAAAAATTAGTATCAAAACTGATAAACACTGTGACAGCCCTAAAAACCGTGACGAAATTTATTCGCTTAATGAAATTAGATAAAAACAACATTATTACCGTAATTGAGGGAAAATTGCTTATTCACATTACTAATTTAGATCCTTCGCGGAGATTGTAGCGGCCCTACGGCTCTACGCCGTAGCGGAACGTAGCATTGCTACGCATTCCTTGACTAAATCACGAATTTATTTAAAAATTGAATTTTTTGTATCAAGCTTTTTGAATATAAAAAAATGTCTGTCAATTAAACATTGTTTGGGAGTCAACCATCAAGAGGTCACGGAGATTTCATTTAATCACATTCATTCGACTATCCTAGTCTACTTGCATTCTAGGATGGTAAAGATAACCCATTTTCATTACAAGGAGACCTTTTTACGAATAAGTCGTGCTTCCAAGCAATTCTCAGATTCAGAACGTTGCATACAATTCGCCGGGCGCCGCGGCGTTCGCGGATGCGTTTTATAAAAATAAAACGAACGTATAATCTATGGGCCGGGAACTTTCGTCACTCATACATGCGCGTAGGTACGTTTTGGCGGGTAGGTAGTGCGCATGCCCGGCTATCAGGGGACCGCAGTCATACAACCATTCTTCAGTTGCACGCATTCGTTCGCCGCGGACGCACGTGCGACCGCGTACCCGACGCAAAACCCTCGCACAACCAACAAAAACGTTCAGGAAACCGTTAAAAAAGACCAGAGAGCGTCGAAAAACGTTGCCCGCGTCGAAAGATAAGTGCTTAGCGTCGAAACGCCGTGAAGAAGCTACAAACAGAGCCGGAATACGGTAAACAAATACCCGCTGTGCGAAAGAGATTTTTGTGAATGAAATTTAAGATGGTGGACAGCAGTAGTGACGGCTTGTGTTGTGTGGATGCGATTAACCGAATAGACCCACGAGCTGCTCTAGTACGGAATGATTCGATCCTGTATCGTGACCGTAATGGTTCGCCGATAACATATATATATATGTTGCAAATGATAATGACATATATCGTACATACCGCGGCTGTCAAATATTTATTTTTAGATCGTTCACGAGTCGATAATCTCAACTCGGATGGTCTCTCATTGAAATTTATTATAATTCTGAAGGATCGTGAATGGATAGAACCAGTGATAGGAGTTGTGGGCCTAACAATGCAATCGATAATGCAACCTTGTCCGTTCTGCATTTACGTTTCACTCGTAAAGATGCAATGTTTAAACTTAATTAAGAAGACGTCGACGTCATTAATTTGAAATAAATCGAAGGGTAAAAGGATATTTGGTTTAATTTTCCTTAATTCCCGATAATTATCTTAGTAATTAAAGATCCGTTTTGATTTGATATTAAAGCATCAACAGTTCGATGTTTTTAATTGAACTTCAATTAAGTTTACTTACTCCGTTCAAATAGCCAAAGAAGCTTTTTTGTTATGATATTTTTTTTTTCAAATATTTAAACTTTGTATGACTCTCATGTAAAGTTACAAAAATGTCACTTAAACCAAATAATAGCCTTTTCATTCCTCGATATTTTTAACAAATCCGTCAAGTTCATTTCCGAGGAGATTTTAAAATGTGACGTACAATGCAAATTAAGACGTATTCCATTTAAATTAAAAATGATTTTACGTTTTAATCTCGTGTGCTTTGTTGTCATAATATTGTCGTCAACGTTTTACGGATATTTTACAGTTTTTATTACATTCACATTGGATCGAAGTAGTTATACATTGACATTTGAATATTGTGGTTGAATGTTTTCAATTTTTCTCTGACATGTTTACACGGATTAACCGCGATAAATAAACAAATTAAATGTCAATTTTTTTTTTAATGATCACTTTCCTCGTCCCTGTTCTCTGTGGGACATAAAGCCTAATTTTCAATGGGGATGTACCAAAGCTTTCTCAACTCTATTCAAACAGGAACTATAGTGGTGTACCTGCGTGGTATTTTTACGCTTCGTACCTCCCTATCAATAATTTTGTCTTCTTAAATACAACGGCCGTCTGGTGTAGTGGTAAGTGACATGGTCACTACATAAGGGGGTCGCGGGTTCGAATCCCGCCAAGGGAAAGATATTTGTATGATAAATATAAATGTATTTTCCAGGGTTATGGATGTATATTAAATATATGTATGTGTATAATAAAAATCTTATATTTATTTCCGTTATCTGGTACTTGTAACACAAGTTCTTTACGAACTTATCACGNCTATAGTGGTGTACCTGCGTGGTATTTTTACGCTTCGTACCTCCCTATCAATAATTTTGTCTTCTTAAATACAACGGCCGTCTGGTGTAGTGGTAAGTGACATGGTCACTACATAAGGGGGTCGCGGGTTCGAATCCCGCCAAGGGAAAGATATTTGTATGATAAATATAAATGTATTTTCCAGGGTTATGGATGTATATTAAATATATGTATGTGTATAATAAAAATCTTATATTTATTTCCGTTATCTGGTACTTGTAACACAAGTTCTTTACGAACTTATCACGGGACCAGTTAACGTGGCGTGATTGTTAGTAAATATTTATTATTTATTTATTATTATTTATTTATTTAATTATTATATAAAATTCCAAAAAAAAATTAAGTTTAATAACACCCTTTGTTAGACGGTGCCTGAAACCTACTATATTAAGATACGCCACAACCTATATATTCGTCTATATTAAGGTTCACTATTTTATATCAATTAATGACCTAACAAGCTCCCAGCCTATTTAGGTCAGAAGGTCCTACAACTGGATTTATCGAGTGAATTTGATTAATTAAATATAGAGATGGGCTTTAAAAGAAAGTGTCGTATAATGCGACCAAAGGGCTCACCATAGAATGGGCACAGCGCATTTTGAGCTTTATATGAGCGTACTAAGAACATTAGGCGGTAAGGGCAGAACGTATTGTGAGCCCAGTTAAGTATTACCACCCTACCTGCTTCTACTACGAAGCATAAGTACTTTCCTGTCTAACACGTCAGCTATATTCTAATACTTATAGCTCTAACTTAACTACATGACTTATAAGAGTTCTAGCTCATGTATGGCACTAGTGGTAGGACCTCTTATGAATACGGGTAGGTACCACCACCCTGCCTATTTCTGCCGCGAAGCAGTAATGCGTTTCGGTTTGAAGGGTGGGGCAGCCGTTGTAACTATACTGAGACCCTTAGAACTTATATCTCAAGTTGGGTGGCGAATTTACGTCATAGATGTTTATGGGCTCCAGTAACCGCTTAATATCAGGTTGGCTGTGAACTCGTCCACCCATCTAAGCAATAAATTAATAAAAAGTTTTAAGCGTTACAATAAAGATCGAGATCTTCAAAGAGATGTTTTTGTTCCAGATCATTCAGCAGCAGACAAATGTTTAAGTGATCCCTTACTCGTTACGATTAAGCAGTGAAATGGACTTCAAATAGATCGTTTCGAATCTGTGCAAATTGAAATTATAAATAAGCATTCGTGTATTATTACTGGAACTAACCTAAAACTTGTCCTCCACAATGAAGCGAATATATTGTCACCGGCGCGCCCCGCTATGACTAACCTCATCAGGGTCTTCCAAGCTGTCAGAAGAATATGACAAAGGTATTTTTATTTTAAAACCAGCTGACCCGGCAAACATTGTTTTGCCATATATAAGATTTTTAGGGAAGTTAAAGTTAATAAATAAAAAATAAGGGTTGATCGTAGAGGGGTGAAAATTTGGGGTTGTATGTATTTTTTTATGCTGTATCATAAAAAAATAAAAACAAAAAGTTTTGATTAAGAAATTTAAAAAAATTTTAGGGGTGGACCACCCTTAACGTTTAGGGGGATGAAAAATAGATGTCCGATTCTCCACTCTGGCCGATATGCACGCTAAGATTCACAAAAATCGGTCGAGCCGTTTCGGAAGAGTTCAATCACGCACACCGTGACACGAGAATTTTATATATTAGATTTACATTGGCGGACTTAATGCCTAAGGCATTCTCTGCCAGTCAGCCGAAGGTAGTGCAGATATATTCCTCAAATTCATAATTATACTCGATTATCGTATAAGATCATCTAAGCTGATGTTACTACTCTTAAATTTACAGTTTTAATAGATTCATGAAATACTAGATAGAGGTCCCGCAGTAGTCGAAATTCGACTATAATTAATTGGAATTGTAAGTTTGTACACTATTATGATTGTATTTTATACTTCTATAATCACAAATTTCGCCAAGGCTACTCTATAAAAAAATATTAATAAAGACAAACAATATTTAATCTATTCTCAATTTGACCACAGACGACAAGAACAAAAGTTTGACAATAAATAGTATGTAGTGTGTATAATGTTTTCTTTATTGATTTAATGCATTATTAAAAAAAAAAATTAGCATTGTGCACTTCTTCTCTATATTCTGTATAAGTGAGGAAAATTTCATACTCCTCCGTCCGCGCAATTTTCGTAAAAAGGGATACATAGTTTTTGCTTCACGTATTAATATATAGATAAAGTGATTATGAAAACTTTGTGATGTTCTTGTTCTTGCTTTAGGTTAAGCTAAAAGACAATTAAATATAAACAGCCTTTCTCCTGCCAATAACATTGTAAGTAAATACTAAGCCTTTAAATATATTTTTTAAATTAACCTTAAAATATACGTGCCTAATTTTGATGCTCTGACATGGGACATACACGTGCTGGGCCCACGCACGTTTCGGCTCTATCCCGAGATCCCATTTCATTTTATTTGACGCCGGATACAAACACGCGAACTAGTGACCGAAGGATCTCTAAGTGGGTCGCGTTTCCGATCCAGCGGTAGATTCTGCGAAGCACGGCTCTTGCTAGAGTTCGTGTTAGCAACATCGTCAGGTTTGAGCCCCGTGAGCTCACCTACTAAGATTACGCTGATATGGTCTCTCTAGACCATCAGCTTAAGTAGGAAAAAAAAACAAAATATACCAACAAGAAACTTATTTCCAATCACACCCGGAGCTACCTGATACAATGAAAAGGAAAAAAACGGAAAATCTATGTATAAAGAAATTAAATTTCCCGCATCATAAATAAACCAGCATTTTACGCGCATTAACTGGTGACCCTCCTATAGGGGGGCTTATAAGGGGGCTTTGGTGAAATTTTCTTTTCGTGTTAGAGTGGAACAGTGTAGTTAAAATACTGTTTCATGGTAAAATTACTTATACAACAGAATATACAGATGCAAAACCCAAAACATTTTTAATCAGTTCAAACCTCTCGTAACTCTGACCGCTCGAGTCGCAACTTGAACATCAAATGTACCTATAAAAGTATTTATAAGCTCGCGTACTGTACGCGCCCCACATCTCCTTATGAGAGGATCGTTATTAGAATAGTTCCACCCTTGGAAATTCTATAAATAGAAAACAGGTTTACGCTGCTTGGAGGTTTTCTTTTTGACAATGTACACGAATTAGATTTTACGGCAACAAAATCCATAACTTCGTATGTGGTTTTGGTTTTTGCAGTTCAGTTTAGTTAAAACAAAAATTTTAAGTCGATTTTGTTCGTATTGTTTATTTGTTGTCATTTTGATTTCGTGTTAAAACTAATTGTTAACATTTAAAATTTACTTTCTATAAGTTACATTTATTAGCGGTAGGCAGCGGCTTGGCTCTGCCCCTGGCATTGCTGAAGTCCATGGGCGACGGAAACCACTCACCATCAGGTGGACCGTATGCTCATCTGCCTACAAAGGCAATAAAAAAATAAAAAAAGTTTAAATCTTTTTTGGGATTATTATTGCGATATTTGTTGTCATACTTTGATGGTACTACAGTAGAAACCTTCTTTCAATTTAGTATCAACAAATACACCTTGAAAAACATCCAGTTTTACATTGTAACGACATCTGTTGGTAAATAGTAGAACCGTAACCAAGACCTTTGCAATATAAAACATAAAGGGTCCATGGTATTACGCTCATTTACCTAAATCGACAATGAAAATCAACTGAACAGACTCGTCCCAACATAAACATTGGTACTACGACGGACATTATTGATCTAAATAAATTCTAAATAATTCTATTTACTTCTCGTAGCTACGAATTAAATAAGATCTTGATAAAATTACGTCTAAAGCACATTGGCCTTATTTATAAAAAAAACGAATCATACCTTCAATCTCATGAATTGCAAGAGATCACCATCGATCTTCCAAATTTTGAAGTCGTCGTGGCCTAAAGGATAAGACGTTCGGTGCATTCGTATCTAGCGTTGCACCGGTGTTCGAATCCCGCTGGCGGGCACCAATTTATCTAATGAAATACGTACTTAACAAATGTTCACGATTGACTTCCACGGTGAAGGAATAACATCGTGTAATAAAAATCAAACCCGCAAAATGTAAATTTGCGTAATGACTGGTTCTGCCACCGTTGTAACTATACTGAGACCTTAGAACTTATATCTCAAGCTGGGTGGCGCATTTGCGTTGTAGATGTCTATGGGCCCAGTAACCACATAACACCAGATGGGCTGTAAGCTCGTCCACACATCTAAGCAATAAAAATTAAAAAAGTCGAAGAAATCCGAGTATCCAAAATAGCTTTAACATTATGTTATTTCGGTCGTCCTTGACTCCTGCAATATGACGACGGATAGGCGACGTCGCCGTCTCCGCCATGTTTACTGTTCTCACGCATCATTGAGTAGAGACTTGTAATGTTTTGGATGTCACTTATGAAGCTCAAATTTATATCAGCCAACCGTAATAGGCACTTTAGATCGATGTCTATAGTCTTTTTTTTCCTACCTATTCTAGTAACCTCGAGGGGTTATTCTAAATTTGCCGAATTAGTGGATAAGCTCACGGGCTCAAGCCTGACGACGTTGCTAACACGAACCCTAGCAAGAGCCGTGCTTCGCAGAATCTACCACCGAATCGGAAACACGACCCACTGAGAAGATCCGACGAGAAACTCTGTGGGCTATGTCTGTGGGTTAATTTACTCGCCGAGCCCTTCGTCGCAAGCGATGGGTTCGACGAGGATGATGACCGGTGCTCAAGGTACCTAAAAGCACCGTTAGTGGATCGGGGGGTCCGAGATGACGTGTTTAGGGCGACGTCGACTGTTTACCATTTGGTCCGCTGGATCGGCTATGTAGTTACCGGCGGCCACGATGACAGGGTTCTCATGTCGTGCCGAAATGGGCTTTAGTCAATTGAGCAGCTAATTTATTCTACGTAAAACCCTTAAAATTATAATTTGCGTAATTACTGGTGGTAGGATCTCTTGCAAGTCCGCACGGGTGGGTGCCACCATCCTGCCTATTTCTATCGTGAAGCAGTAATGCGTTTCAGTTTGAAGGGCGGGGTAGCCGTTGTAACTATACTGAGACCTTAGAACTTATATCTCAAGGTGGGTGGCGCATTTACGTCGTTAATGTCTATGGGCTCCAGTAACCACTTAACACCAGGTGGACTGTAAGCTCGTCCACCCATCTAAGCAATAAATAAAAAAAGTAAGCTGTAACAATCGCGTGTGCGCATCCGGTTACTACACAATTCCTAACATTTGTTGAAGCGATATTAAAAATCCATCAGCCCATTAGTTGCGATACTATAGATGTTATATGTTCGCGGCGTTTTCATTCAAAGCGATATACATTTTCAGGAATATACGACAAAGGGAAGATCTTCCACCGAGCGGGTGATATTGCTCGGTAGACCGACGGTCCAAATGTTGTTTTTTTTTCTACCTATGCTGATTGCCTTGAGAGGCTATTTTAGCTTCGCCCTAACGTTTGTAGGTGAGCTCACGGGGCTCAAACCGGAGTGTTGCTAACACTGACCCTAGCAAGAGCAGTGCTTCGCAGAATCTACCACCGGATCGGAAACGCGACCCACTGAGAAGATCCGGCGAGAAGCTCAGTGGGCTGTGTCTATGGGTTAGTTCGCTCGCCGAGCCCTTCGTCGCAAGCGACGGGTTCGACGAGGACGGTGACCGGTGCTTGTGATGCCTAAAAGAACCGTTAATGGATGAGGAGGATCCGTAATGACGTTCTTTAGGCGACGTCGACGGTTTACCATTCGAGAAATGTTGTTCGGAACTTGTATATATGCGCTTTATCTTGAAAATGTCGTAAGCGAGATTCAGGCATCTGTCAAATATCTTGCGTTGTATGATGGCTACCGCCACATATTGTGCTTGTTGATGTATGATGGTACATTTTGTAATTACCATCAGACCAGACCGGATTTATTCTTATACAATCACTCGTTTACTCTGACTCGCGCAGTAATGGACTTTTTTTATCATTCGTAAGGTGTGTTATGAAAGTGCACGATCATGTGCCACAAACCTGCCTATTTCTGCCGCGGAGTAGTAATCCATATCGTTTCAAAAGTGGGCCGGTGGCCATGCATTTGCGGGAGGCAGCGGCTTGGTTCTGCCCCTGGCATTGCTGAAGTCCATGGGCGACGGTAACAACTCACCATCAGGTGGGCCGTATGCTCGTCTGTCTAAGCGGGCAATTAAAAAAAACATTGCTGAGACTTCGACTTAAAACCACAGATTTAAGATCCAAATTTACGTATTCCAAAAATTATTTTCATCCGATATTGT